TATTATTATTATTATTCAATAAATAATGTTTTATATAAATAATAGTAGTATTTAGTATTAGAAAACTGTGTGTGTGTGTTCGTAATGGTGATTTGAGTTGTTCTGCCATTAGATGGCGACAAGAGACTGTGTGTACGAGTCAGCAGTAAAGACTTTTAAATTGAAAAATACTAAAGCGCAGTTTTGAGCAAGGAAGTTATTGTTTCTTTCAAAAAACTTGTACGCAGCCAACAAATGCACAGAGCAGCGCTGTCATCAGAAATCACCCTTAACAGATGAAAGGATAGTACGACAAAGATATCGCTTTCCTCAGCGGACATTCAAACTAATGTTTTATTGTGAATATGAGATTAACCTGAAGAATGAATGCTGCATCAGATGCAGGTAATCACGATCGCTCAGTCCATCTCTCTCTCATAAAACTCTACTACACATAATACACCACTTTTACTACATTAATACAATGAGCTTTTAACACAGCAACTCAATGTTCCTTCGTTACTAGTTCTAAAGTGACATTTCTGAATTAGTAACGGATCTTGAGCTCAGCTGTTAAACTGTTAACTTTAGATTAGAATCTGTGGCGGAAGGAAGTAGTTCTGCACAAAAGAGGGCTTTTAAAGACACTCCGTTGTTATTTTTTATGTATTTACACACTCATGCTGTTGAACTGTTGTATAAACGCAATATCACACTCGTAGATGTGAGATATGGCTGTATATCGGCACACTGTGATTACCTACAGCCGAATCACAGCCGTGCCGATATACATATATATATATAAACCTTGCTACGTGTACTGCATTAGGCTAACTGAGCACTTGCATGACAAAATCTCGGTAATTATCAAAATTACCAAAACTTTAAAATAAAAAATAAAACATGTTTTTGCCATTTTTCTTGATATATCTATATTTTTTATAAATTTTATTTCAGTTTTAATTTGTTATTTTAGTACATAAAGTTTAACTAAATTAAAATGAGACATTTTAAATAAAATTTGAATAAAATAAGTCAAAAATAAAATATTTTTTAAGTATTTTATTTGATTTCACTTAACATTTATTTCAAGTAACTTGGTTTTAATTGCTTCTATTGTCATCATTTGTAAGTCACTTTGGATGAAAGCGTCTGCTAGATGACGAAATGTAAAAACAAATCTGGTTGTGAACCGATCAGCAGCTGTGTTATTGTGTGATGCAGGGTCTGTGTTCAGGTGTGGCTCCCGGTCTCTCAGCAGCTGCGGATGGACGTTCTGCTTCAGGACGGGACGGTGGTCTGCGAGGAGGACGCTTTTCCTCAGAGAGGCACGCTTCATGTCCAGAGTCTGTCCCACTGGGCCCCGGCCAACATCGGGCCCTACAGTCAAGCCGTGCAGGTACAGTGAGCGCTCCTTCATTGGCAGTGTTGGGGGTAACACATTACAAGTATTTTTTTTACATAAAGAGACTTTCTTTTAAATAACTAGTAAAATAATGCATTACTTTTTAATTTAGAAGGAAATAACTGAGTCACTTTTTCAAATAAGTAACATAGTTACTTTGTTTCCATGTGTTGAGTGACAGCTCTGGTGTTGCCACGGTGACAGAAATCAGGAGCAAGTGCAGAGCGTTGTGTGTGAACATGATCTTACTGTAGCTCTAGACTAAATACCAACATGTATCTCACCTGTACAAAAACAGATTCAGTGTTCCTCAAAATGAATAAAAACAGTCAAATTCAAACTCGGAATGTTATACAAACCTGCAAAAATTAACTATGTTAAATAAGACAAATATAATTTATGTATTTAATCCCATTTTATTAACCAATGTCTTTGCTACTGACCTTCGATGATCCAATTCAACCATACTAAGCAAAAATGACACATTTGTGTTTCATCTTTGTTATTGCTGAATAGTGTTGAACTTTCTTCTCCTGCGTCATATTCTTCATGAGATTAGTTTGAGCTGCGTCCTCTACTGTACAGACGTGAATTTACATTTCCTTCAGCCTGAGACATATTCACTTCACTTCAGCTGTGAAAGGGCTTTTACAACTTTTTATATTAAAAACTAGGGATGCACCGATACCGATACTGGTATATTTAAAAAGTAACTCAAAAATAACGTAACGCATTACTTTCCATAAAAATTCACTAAGTAACATAATTTGTTACTTTTTTAGAGAGTAATGCAATATCGTAAGGCATTACTTTTATAAGTAGCTTTCCCCAACACTGTTCATTTGCCTTTTAAGATTGCGGTGGCTGTGATCGCTCTATATGTTAATCTGTGTTGAATTAGCACACAGCGAGCATAATATCATAAATTCAACAGCTCAATCATGAGTAAACGCACTTCCTCAGCCCATCACACATGACAGCCAGGCCTCCGTGTTACATTTGCTAAATTGGAGCGCTGTAGACAGTTCCCCATATTGATATAATTACCCCCTCGCTGTGCCCCTGCCTCGCGCTCGTGATGAGAAACGCTTCTGCTGATGGCGTTTGTGCCGCACAGACAGCTACCTTTCCCAGGAATAATCACTGATTCGTGCCTATATTTAGTTTAGAGGAGGGAATAGCTGAAGTTAGCCACAGCACTTTTGGGGCGTCTTCATTATTGTTGCGTCTCCTTGGCTGTTTCTGCACCACTGCTTTGGGATCAATGGTTGTATGCATCATATCGCGGCATACGAGTCAGAAAAACAGTGTTAATTTAGTAACTTTGAGAGTCTTCTGTAGCTTTGATTAATATTTTGGATTTCATTTTTATATATATATATATATACACTGTAAAAAATGATTGTGATTTTAACAGTAAAAGACTGTAAAATGCTACAGTAAAAACTTGTTAACTGGTTAACAGTAAGTTTCCATATACTATATTCGGTGAATAAATGTAATTACATTTAATGTAATGTTACAGTAAAATACTGTTTAAAAATACGGTTTTTGGAAGTGAAAAAG